ATTAAAAGTTCTATTATTATTTAGATCTATGTTTGTTTCTCTTTCTATCATAATATTGATCTTTTTTATTAAATCTGTTTATCTTTTGGTTGATTTAGGTATTAAATCAATGTAAACTGTTGTTTGATTTGTAAGTTTAAAGGATTTTAACGGTTAATTTAAAATTTTCCTTAATTATTGTTTTTTAATCTAAATTTGATCAGGTGGTGGAGTGATATGTCAACAAAAAATTCCACCTCGCAAGTTGAGCCTAGACAAATCAGCCTATCGTTAGTCTTCGATGGATTGCTGACGTAATCCGTTAGACAAGGGCTATTTTGCACCAACGGCAAGTTTGAGGGTGAGTATGCGCATAAATTCAGTTAAGGGGGTAATCTGCCACCTCTTGAAAAGATAAGGGGTTAATCTGCTTGTTTTGCCTATTGCCTTTTGTACAAAAAAGTTGCCTTAGTTAGCTAGGCCAGACTTCTCAATTTTCATCCATATTACCAATTCACATTAATTTGGTGGAGATCGATGTTATTTTTGTCGATGTTTTGTCCGATCGAGAAACAATAGAAGATATGTCTGAACTTATCTATAATTTCAGTTCCTCTCTACTACTAGCAGCTAGTATATGGTTTCTATCCTTATCCAAAAAAGGAACAGCCAGTTAATTGTCCATATCAATAACTCAATATTCAACTAGGTTGAATGGTAGTTTAAAGACATTTACGTTTACCCAAGCTCTCAAATGTCATTGTTTTGCTTCATTATGGAAGTTTACCTAGAACAATTTGCACCAATTAATTTGTCATTGACCCTAAATAGAAAATGCATGTGTATCAAAATAAGAGACATCAACGTTGCGCACAACAGTTGCAAGGAAATATTATTAACCCAATTATTAAATTCTTGCGTATTAGATGATGCATTGGTAAGGTTCATTGAATTGAACTTTAGAATTCTACTTTCCTTAAATTATCAATAAATTACCAAAACTTGCAAAACGACAAGTCTACGTCAAATCCTTAATGTCGACATTTGATCTAAAATTTCTTCTTTTGGAGATATATATGACAATTAAAAACGAACTGGGAGAGTGTATTAATTAACGTATCACCATCAAAAACACATTTTTCATATCAAAAAGATAGTATTATGGATACTACTACCACTTTTTCATGCACCATGCTAAATTAAAAAGTCAAAAGTTGGCATGAAATTTTAAAATTTTTTTCTTATCGACTAATTTTTCTTTTGTTTGGGTGGTGAGAATATTTTTTAATTTATGTGTATCTCAAAATTAATTTTTTTTAATTAAGGACATATTAATTTGAGAGTCAAAATAAAAACTTCAAACATTTATAATATTAAATATTAACTTAAAAAATAAAAGAGAATTTTATTTTATAATTCAAACAATAAAATAAAATTTATTAAATGAAAAAGTGTTTATTTATCTTGTATTTTTATGGCATAAATTAAAGGTATAATAAATATATTTTTTTATAATTAATTTCCATAATATATGCAAATTTTGATTTTAATTTAATTAATTAATTAAAATCATTTACGCATCAATAATATTAAAATATATGTTAATTTTTATAAATTTTTACATAAATTAATTATAAAAAAATTTATTTATTATACTTTAAAAATACATATTAAACAAATTTAATAAAAAATACCTTTAAATATTAAAAAATAACTTTTCTTTTAATAATTATAATTATATAATTCAATATAATATTAACTACATAATATATATATATATTTTTTGAAAACAAAAACAAAGACTAGTTTACCATCCCATGCCTAAAAAATTGTACGGTTGGAGATCGAGCGTGATCCTCATGTCCCCCGCCAGTTAAAAAATTGTCGAAAATTCACGAACCAAATTGCACCACGTACCCCGCGCCCGTTGATTCCAGTCCACGTAATGACAAACAGAAGAAGGATTAAAGTATGATTAAACCCACAATATATGATATTATATGAGCAACAAAGACAAACATTTTTCGGTAGTTTCACCACGTGTCGAGTAACTTCGAGAACCGAAGAAAGAGTTTTTCTTCCATCTGCTTCCAGAAACTTCTCGGGAACTCGTGGCGTAAAAAGAATAATCAACACATGCGGTCCCCGACACGGCCACGTGTCCGTGCAAATACGTGGCATCCGACGTGTCATGCGCTACATCCCTGTAATTGATACGCTTCCATTCAGTCCGTTTAGATCCTCTCATTCACCGTCCGTAATTACTCTCTTTCTTCAGAAACGCAAAAATCGCCTCGACAGATCGGAGCTCAGGGAGAGGTTTAAAGCGTCTCTGCGTTTGGCTTTCCTCGTGAAGGACGGATTTTGCGGTGGCAATGGATGGAAACGAAGGAGAAGCGGTGAGAATGGAGGAATGCAAGGCAAAAGTGGTGTATATGTGCGGTTACCTGCCGGGAGTTTCGGAGGAGAAATCGCCGATTTTGTCCCCAATTCCGATTCGGTTACCGCCGTCGAGTCAGGGAGGAGATACGTGGAAGGATGTTTGCGGCGGCGGTTGCGGATTCGCCATGGCTATTTCAGGTCAATTCTTTTGATACTTCATAGTGCTTTCCTCAATTTTTGAAACTAGTTTGCACGATTCTATAATTTTCAAATTCAGATCTGAAGTTTGTTATAGGTGTATAAGAAGATTTGCATATTTAATCGTAGTAAATTTCAGTAATAAAAAAGTAAAGAATGTGACATATTGATTTTGTCTTGTTGATGTAATTTTTTACGATATGGAAATTCAAGAAAACAATTAATATCATGAGTTTTTTTCCCCTTTTTATGGATCATAGTCGCTTAGTTTGTTCCTTAGCTGATATGGTTGGTTTTGTAAAATTAGAGTCTGGAAAGCTGATAACATGGGGTTCAGTTGATGATGAAGGGCAGACCTACTTGACTTCTGGGAAGCACGGGGTAATGCAGTGATCTTTTTGTTTATTGAATTGATTGTTCTGTTGAGTTTTTGAATTGACGCAACTTGTTCCTGGGATACATTGTTAAGGAAATTCCAGAGCCATTTCCTCTGCCAGCTGAGGCTTCAATAGTGCAGGCTGCTGCTGGTTGGGCCCATTGTGTTGCTGTTGCAGGTATTGTTGCGATGCTACTTCTCCTCTATTTGAAGAATAGAGATATGGCATAAGTCAAATATTTGCAAAGAGAACTCTTTTTGAGGTGGGAAAAAAAAATGAAAAAGAAATATGCCAGATTTTGTTGCTGCTATTACATATCTGAAAAAATGGAGACTTTTAGTAGTTTGGAGATGAAAATTTAGAAAAGTTTTATGATCAAGCCATTAAATTTAGTTCTGCTGAACTTTAATACAGGAAATGTGTTAAAAGGTAGATTTTCACTTTTCTAGAGTGATAAAAAAAAATTGTGCTCTGCAGTAAATAATTTTAAGACAAACTGACTCATCTGGTTCTTGTCAAGTGAATGTTTTGAACATATAGTTTGCTTTTACAGCCTCCATGAGGAAGGATATTTTCTCTTTATTTAAGCTGCACCGATTATTGGATACAACAGCCTTGTGGTTTTATAAAGCATTTTTGTTTGCATGAAACAAGCGTTTTCTCACAATTGTGTTGAATTTATATGGAAATCTCAGCAGAGTTTAAGTGTTTCAAATACAGATACTGGTGAAGTTTATACATGGGGTTGGAAGGAGTGTGTTCCCTCTGGAAAAGTCACCCGTGATTTGGTTAGTGGTGGGAGCTTCCAAAAGGATATTGCTGGTAAACCAAACACTTTGCCAACTGAGCAAGGTGATTTCCTTGGAAGTCTTTGTATCTGTAATGCAGCACAAACAGAGCATCCTTCTGATTATTTTCAGGTTATTTTATGACCTTTGAATTTGTTACAGTGAGCCCAAGGTCTCGAGGTTCAAACATAAGCGGTGGGTTGGTTTCTCGAACAGAGAACCGAAAAGCTGGGGAGGAAATGGCAAAGAGGAGAAGAATAGCTGCAGCAAAAGAAGAATCTGAAGGCTTAACATCTGGAGATGAATTTTTCACAGTATCACCATGTCTTGTGACTTTAGGCCCTGGAGTGAGGATCACCAGTGTTGCTGCTGGTGGGCGGCACACTCTAGCACTGTCAGGTAAATCAACTACACTTGGGTCACTCAGGACAGCAGTGATTTTCAGGTGGAGCTGTCAACTCTTGTCATCACACAATAGAGTTTTGTAGGTTGTATGAAGTACGAAGCTATGGAAGATTTTTGATCTAAAGAAAGACTCCTGATGCATCATATTTTTGCCGGGGTTTCAGATATGGGACAAGTTTGGGGTTGGGGCTATGGAGGCGAAGGGCAGCTGGGTTTGGGTTCCCGGATAAAAATGGTGTCATCACCTCATCTCATACAATGCATGGAACCACCTGCTAGCGGGAAAGAGAGGCCTCCAGTAGTTCATCGAGGAAGCCTGAATGCACCAGTACAAGTTCCTAAAGCTGCTGGAAGCTACATTAAGGGAATTGCTTGTGGAGGCCGGCATAGTGCTGTAGTAACAGGTAAGCATTTGATGATTGATTTTCTTGTCATTCTATTACTTGTATTTTGGGTTCTTCTGATACAATGGAGGAAATACAATATTATTTCACAGTGATGATCACAATCACAATCTAAGTCAAGATAAAATTGTCTTAAAACATCTTACATTAATCTCTTTCTTTTCCTCTTGTTGCAAGTTGATTACAAAGTTCCAGATACATTCTTTAGTCATTGCTTTGATAAAGATGTTAACATATTTTATTATCAAGTTTAGATAATGGAGCACTACTTTCTTTTGGCTGGGGACTTTATGGGCAGGTGAGCATTCTAAATTTATATTTCGTTAACTTTCATTGTTGATTTGATGTCACTAATTTTACATATTATCTATATTCTATTCTTTTTGGGATTGTAAAAGCCCTGAATTGTTTGATACAACAAGGGTATGGTTCCAACCATAAAAATAAACAAGTTGTCTCCTGCTTTTGAGGCAGAATTGACAAAGCAAATCTATATTTTTTGCATGTTAATTCTAATTTCATTTGGTTGTATAGCTAAAACTGTTGGACATTTTCTGCTAATGTGTTTCCAAACAGTGTGGCCAAGGAAGTACAACTGATCTTCTGAGACCAACGTGTGTTTCTTCTTTATCAAGCATAAAAGTAGAAAGAGTTGCAGCTGGGCTATGGCATACTCTGTGTATTTCTGTTGATGGCCATGTGTATGCTTTTGGGGGAAATCAGTTTGGACAACTGGGAACTGGTTCTGATCAGCTTGAGGTACATTTGGTTTTAGAAAGCTGGATCTTTGTTCATTACTAGGCACTGGTCCCTATCCTGTGAATTAGTTAGCCATTAAACTAGATTAAGATAAACCTTGAAAGAACTGAATATAATATATATATATATATATATGTAGGAAAAGTGTTTTACAAGTTGCTTTCTTAAATTTTATTTAGAGGACATTCTAAAAACTCATATTCTGATTTATATTTTCAAAAATCAACTGTTAGATTAAAAGTTCTATTTATATAGATCATGTATATAAATTTTCAAGTTAATCTAGTAAGCCTAACCACTTCATTAACTACAAGAAATTTAACACCATTAAATATGTCAGTAAATATAGTTGTGCTGATCAAAGGGTTATTAGTGTTAGATCAATATGAAAATTAATAGGCATTATTTACATGAGTAGAACTATTAATCCAGTGGTTGGTTTTTGAAAATATTAATTATAAGGTAAATTTTTAGACAGGTCCTCTAAAAAAAAATTTAGAAGGATGGCATGTCCTCTACACTATTCTCTATATATAGTCAAAATTCACTTACACACAAGTTTTACATATCACAGTTATACAAAGTCTTGACCATTCATTTCTTTACTTTCAATGGTTGAGATTTATTTAATTTTTATCATATTTATTAAAGATAATTATCTTTTTCATTTAAAAAGTCATAATAAATCTCAATCATTGAAAATAAAGAAATGAATGGTTAAAATTTTGTATAAGTATGGTGTGCAATACTTGTAAGTAAATTCCTCCTCATATAGATATATATATATATATATATGCTGCAAATTTAGACATTTTTATGGCAAAGAGATTGTCATGATTTTTCATTTTCACCCTGAGATTGTTATGAAACTAATTAGGGTTTTGCTTTTTCTGTTTACCTTTGCTTCAGACATTACCAAAATTATTGGATGCTCCACTTTTGGACGACAAGCACGCAAAAACTGTATCTTGTGGAGCTCGGCATAGTGCGATACTAACAGGTATGACCACACAACTAAATGATCCAGCTTAAGTAGTTTCAATAGGGTTTCAGGCTGACATCCTATTCGAGCTATTTTTGTTTAACTGGACCCCAACCCTGGTATGAATATTTCTGGATGGACTTGATATTGCACCATGTAGTGCATATAGTTATACTGAAAATATAATGAAGGAATTTACATGGATTAAGGATGTTGGATATTTTGGTTTATTGGTTCAACCAATAGTTAAAACACAATTGTCTTAGACTTCACAACATTTTGATGACAATTTCTTTGATGTTGTATCTTGTTTTCTTCTTCAAGATGATGGTGGAGTACTTAGCTGGGGGTGGAACAAGTATGGCCAGGTATGATTTCCACACCCAAGTACATATTGCCATAGAGGGCTGCAGATTCATTTAAAAGTCTGAAATTCTTTGCCTGCAGCTTGGTCTGGGTGATACAATTGATCGTAACATTCCTTCCCAAGTTCCCATTGAAGGTTGGCTGCCTGAAGACGTTGCATGTGGTTGGTGGCACACATTACTACTGGCAGAGACACCCCCTTGAGTCCCAAATTCTTTTCACTAGACCAAACAGGTGACAGTTTTGGTAGGATAGAGATGTCCGACTAGTCAGGACCCTACAATGTATTATTCATCTCTAGATAGTCAGTGTACATAAAGTTCTATGCATATGCAGCCCGTAAGCATGTGCTCATTCTTTCATGAATTAGTTTATCAAAAACATTATATCATAACGGGAACTTCATTAACTCTGTACACAGACAGTAAGTGTGGTACTGAAACATCAGATGCTTTGTAGGTTTGTAATTTCACTGCTTAGCAATGCAATGGTGTTTGCAATTCTGAACGTTCAACTCCATGTTGCCATTAAAATTTTCCATGGTAGACATATCTGAGTTTGCTCTTGTTAAAACTAGGATAATCCATCTCGTCTCACAGGACATCAAATCCTGCTCGAAATTGGAATTCTTCGATGCAGCAAAAGCTGCATCAGAGGCCAGAAAATATCCAATCTGTGGAAACCCCTGGATGCCTGCATGCATCACAATTACGTATCAAAACATTTACCAATAAAAACATGTTGTTAAAAGTTAGGATGGGTATTCAAAGCAATATGGTACCTCAACAATAAAATGAGCCCATGTATTGTTCTCGTAGCTTTCCATCACACCTTTCAGGATTGTCAAATTGAAACTTCGAATCACCTGGGCAATTTCCAAGAACATTCCTTGCTCATTGCATAGCATCTGCATCAGAGTGGTTTATTAGCCAAGAAATCCAACTGCAAGGGTACTGGGAAATAGTAATTCTTTTCACAAAAAATTAAGGTTATGTAAAACACAGAGCATACTTCAATGAGCAAGTGGCCTGGGTATGGAAGATCTTCCACGACAATGGGGCATACTTGCGGTTCACCTCCAATCTCCAAAGCCCAACTTTTTCCTTTCTGGTAAACATCCTTCGTCTCAAATGATCTCAATTTCTTGCGCCCAGCCACCTGCAAAGCATCTCAGTTTCAGCTCAGTACTTCTGAATGAAAAAGTTATAAAATCACAATATTGAACAGAAAGTACACAGTTTAAACTCAAATAATTTTATTGCTTCTCCAGGCAGCTACATATATGTGATTCCTGACAGTATACTTGAGAAGTGTTTTAATATGAAGAAATGGAAACAGAATTTGGAAGGCCACAGGAAAAAAATTTTTGTTTATGCAATGCGATTAGATACGAGTATGGTTTGCTGCAAGCATATTTCAGTAATTTCTTATAGAAAGTACTATTCATTGACACTGCATACCTCCCAATGGACCCATTGTCTCCATTTCTCAGCCTGGTTAGTCATGCTTTGTAAGTGCAGCATATGTTTTATGGTTTGATCCAAGAGACCATCAATGCTACACTGGATTTTTGTAACCAATGAAACGACCAAACTTCTAAGCTCAGAGAAGGATGCAAACAAACATCAGAATTACAATTTACAAGAGATTCTTTTCATTAAAAAAACACTCACCTTTGCACCATTTGGCACAAGTTTGCGTAGTTCCTTAACCCGATCCTGGATCAGCTGTCTGTCCCTGGGTCTTGGCCTCTGGCTATCTCCAGGTCTGGCCCTTCTTTTGCTGACGTTAGGTGGTTTTGTGTCTTTTCTGGGTTGCATATGATGGTATCCTTTTCCAAGCTGCTCTCCGTCAATTAATGTGCTCACCGTGCTATTCAAAGAAGGTGAAGTTGCAGCATTAAAATCATTTTTGGCCTCAGAAGCAAATGTAGAAAAAACTTGATCAGGGAGAAGTGTATCGGCCCTTGAACTTGGAGATCGAGGAGTTATGGCTTTATGCCCTGTTGATGTTATGGTTGACTTGACTCCACTGGATTCATAAGAAGAATTGTCATCTGAACCACCATGTATGTTAGCAATCATGGCTTGTAGCAGGTATTCTCCATCACCTCCTTTAATGGATGATGAGGGTTCAAATCCACCAAGAAGTTCTTTTTGTATTGCATTCATGTGTACATCTTCACGCGGTATAGATGAGTCAAATAAATAGTCATTGCTCTGTCCTTGAAAAGCTGGACCAAATGCTTTGTGTAACTCAGAGTGTTTGGGAAAGCTGAAGAAGCTGCTCAAAGCTTCATGATTCGAATCGTTAATATTTTTTACCCCAAAAGGTTCTTCCACAAAATCTTTAGAGTGGTTAGGGTTCATAATTCCAGTGAGAATCTCTCCACACTCGTCAAGACTGTAATTGTTACATGCAAGATATGTCAATAAATCTTCTTCCAGACTTGACAGACCAAACAGTTTGCTCAGTGGTGAGGATACTTCAGTAGGGCTAACAGGTGAGGTGCCCAACTTAGCTTCCCTAGCACTTTTAAGAATCTCAGCCTGATGCTGATTTTTTTCAGTCATCAGAGGTAGATTCTGAAAATCTGGCATAGGCACAACCCAATCTGAAGTTAGCGGTGAAACAATTTCCAGTTTGATGCTGTCAACAGTCCTGGAAACCTCAGATATAAGTGGATCAATGGATATAGTTGATGATTCATCCAACTTTTCCACAAGGCTACACATTAATGACGTTGGTAATTGGGCCTGAGCATTCCTGTTGAAGGATAAAGAAATGGAATTTCCTCCCACAGTGTTACGGGTAAATCTTTCTTTGACATTAGAAATGACTGCTAGATCTTCAGGAACCTGTTGATTAGGAGAAAATGCACATGAGAGACATATCAATAGAGCACCAAATGCCGTGCAACTGCAACACTAAACCCATTCATTGCTAAGAACATAAGCAGGCTTACACATATGTAAAAGAGATTTCATATTTAGAAGCATACATGCTATCCTATTTGGTGAAGGAATCAAGGTAAGTCAGCTATATGCATCATCAACCGAGCAATCACTTGGTTTCCAAGTTGATCACTCACAGTGTACGACATGTGTTTGGAAGTTGGAACTTTCCTAGCATACTAGCATACGGTCTACATAACTTAACTGAGAAAGATATAAAAAGTCACATGATAACATAGGAACAGAGGATATTAGATTGTTCGGTGGACTTCCATGATCTTATTGCACCCAATAGGTTGAGTTCAGAAGAAAAGCTCACCATCTCCAAGGAACCAAGCTGCAGAACTACATGTGGAAGCACAGGTATAAGCACAATTGTCTGCACAGACATCACAAGAAAAAAATAACAAAAGACATTATCCACCTTAAAGAACCAAATTTGAGGAGCACATAATTTTGCCTCATCAAGACTGTACATAAGCATGCAAACAATCTTAAGTATAGAATATGAAATGTCAAAAGAGGAACTAGAGGACTACATTACCTTAATTCCTGACATGAACTGAAGCAGCCATTCATCAGGACACTGACAACAGACAAAATAGCACTTGTAAATAATGATGCAATATTATCCACTATTGCAAGAATTGCAATTCCAACCATGGTTTATGGGAAGCAATGGAACTCACCTCAGCAAATAACCCAGGATAAGCTTTGCCCATTAAACTATCTTCAAAAGAAAACCAGCAATGCTTTGCTGTATGTGCTACTTTGCCCATAACCCTGGGTAAAAATAGAAATCCAAATTACTAGTTGGTTCAACCTTTTTCAAAGAACTAACTTGTTAATATATTATTTGGCTGCAAAACGTCTTCCCAAAAGTTAAAAAATAAAAACTAAGAAAATGACTTTATCAGAAGGAAAGCACACTCTTGGTAATAACCAGAGTCGAAAACAAAGCTTTACCCTTCACCCCATGCATAGTGGAGATGTGACATATTAGCCACAGGTAATCCAATGGGATATCCTCCAAGACCACTGTCATGGATGCTCGATTCACAATATGAAGAGATTATATCACCAGTATGACTAGAATAGATGCCATATGACATGCTTTCTGTGGGTTCTCTTGGTCCAGGATAAACACAATACCCATCTTCCCATGTCAAAATCCTGAAATAAGGACAGGTAATGCATATGTGTAAACAAACTACTGTATATAACAGCTTAATAGTCAGAATATCAGAAACACTGAAAGGCTGCATCACAACTTGGACGACATCTTAGACAAATCATTTAACAATTTCCATGTTTTCCTATTCCAAGAAGCAACAAGGAATGATTACAATCTAGGAAACAACTGGCTCAAAGGGAAACTTACAACGGGCACTGATGCCTAAGCTTCCAAAGTACCGCATATTTCCAAGGTGAATTGCTGCACAGACTGAAGAGTAACTGCCTCAAAGCAGTAGTCCCCATAACTGAATCGTTCAAACTAAATCACCGAGGTATATACTACACCAAAAAAAACACAACCAAATTATATCTGCAACTTTCACTAACTACCTCTATAGGATCCCCGCACAGCTTGTTTAACTCTCAACCCCACTTTCCGTTTCCTTGGTGGCCCCTTTGAACACACCAGTGAAAATCCCATAGCTGACACCCCCTCCCTCCCCAAAATCAAGCAACTAAGACAACCCAATTCAGAATTCCTGATATTAAAACAGAAAAACACCGGAAAATGCTACATAGGACCGCATTTCTTCAACCTCCTGGTATGACCTGGTGCAGGAACTGCATGGGAAATCAAGAGATACTCTAAAATCAAAACAACTTTGTTGGATTAGCCCCTCTGGGATGACTTAAGTTTATACTAAATAAAAAATATGGGAATCAGGGAATTGGGAGATGTTCGAATTCGTTGGATTCCATTGTCAATCTCAGTCTTAAACAATCTGTCCCTGTAGAAACAGATGATGAACAAAACCAAGGCAGGAGAGACAAGCTGCAGTTTTGGATTTGCACTGCCCCAAATGCCTGCACCTGCCTTTCCTTAAATACTACCTTCGCCACCTGTTACCTGTCAATTGTCACCTTCAGGAAGAAAAAAGAGAGAGAGAGAGAGAGAGAGAGAGAGAGAGAGAGAAAATCTCCGGATTTCAAAACCATCCAAAATCGAAATCCAAAGCTCGCAGTGGGATTCCAGGCCCACAATCTACTCCAGTTACAGTGGAGGGATTGAAGTTTCTGTTTTTGCAGTTGAGTATGTTAAATTGCAAAAAAATGATCATCGAAGTAGAAAGAGGCTATCAATAATAATAAAAAATTTTATGTAATTTAATATAATTTAAAATGTATAATAATTTTTTTAAAGGATTTTTTTTAACTTATATTCTTAAAATATAAGTTAAAAATATTTTTTTAATATTAATTATCATTAAAAAAATAAAATTTAATATTTATTTAATCAACTGTTCAATTAAAATAATATGTATAGCATTAATAATAAAATTAATATTAACTTTTATTATTTTATTTATTAATTAATA